GAGGTGAACAACTTGTGTTTCGCGCGCTCATATGACCTTAGCAGTTGCGAGCGCCGTAAAACCTTATACTACTACTACTACTACTTAGATCAAACACCATGAAGGGGTTGTACTTGCTGGTTCTTTGCAATCCTTGAGTAGGTCCGATAAAATGTATTTTCTCTGTCGGTTCTCAGAGGGTAAAGGGTCACTATGATGTCAGTTAGTTTTGAGAAAAGAGCAATATATTTTTTTAAAAAACAGATCAAAGGTAAAAAGTGGTTTTATTGTACATTGCCTTACTTTACAGACATTACTCTGTTACTTTGTGGTACTGTCTTTAATGTGTTTTAGTTACTGATGGGTACGTTTGCAGAAAAGAGGGAAGCACATCAACACAATAACAGGCATTAAGGGCAGGCATAAATAATGAATCAATGATAAACAGACAACAACAAGAGGGAAAGGAAAGAAGTAGGACCTGTCAGTGGCGCTATCTAATCACTCACAATTTGGTTGTTGTCAGAGAGTGAATATTTTATTCATGATGATATAAGTGGTATATACCTGACAAACTGCTACACTGTCCTTGTACTCCTTGCTTACTGTTTCCGATATGCTTTCACCGAGAGTACATTGTATTTGTTTGTTATGAAACCATTGTCTATTGCGGACACAAATGGTTACGTTGGTGGTATTTCCTGCCAAGAGGGATGGTTGTGTGGCTGTGAATTGTGAAAACCATCAGTTAGGGGTTTGGGGGGAGGATAATAAGATATCTTCTTTAGATATATTAAAATATCACTTGCCAAGTGACTCATGATCCAACCTGTCCTTAGGGTGACGATGGGTCATGGAGGTCGGCCGTGGGTCAGCGATGTCAATGACCCTAACTACATTGCCGGGCGAAATGCAGTTAAAAAAGGTACGGTTAGGATTTTGCAGTTTTTTGGCGAGGTAATGTTTTTATTTTTTAAATGTTTTATTCTTAGTGGTCCAATTATAATGTTTCTCCACTGCTCTTTCAATGTCTTTTTGTCCACTGGTGTTGCATCACAAGTTATTTCCCAGAAAAACTGGTACATATATATACGCCTTTCATTAGAAAATGTAGATGAAGTTGGCACAGGTCTGTGATGGTGGAGAAAGTTTTGCCCCTATACAAAGTTTATGGGCTGATGAGTCATTTCCCAAAAAGGGTTCACCTGGTTGTGTCTTTTTGCTATACCCAATAACTCCTGCTCAAAAAAAGGATGTTGCATTGTGGCAATATGGCAACTCTGCAAGTTTGTAAAATTGCCTGTTTTTATGTGAAATTGTGTAACATTAATGTTATTTCTGAGTTATTGTGTATGCATCATTTAAGCCACTGTAGTCCACGTTTTCCACTAGAGGTTAATAAAAAGTTTGCATATACAGTGGAATCCTGTTAAAACGAGAGGGAAGGGACCAGTACGAAATGTCTGTTATAGCAGGATTCTCGTTGTAAGGGATCCAGTAATAAATCCAAAGGAAATAATAAAGTAGGCCAAATCTATGCGTTTGGTGTTCTGTTTATTTCTTTTTGTTATCTCCTCCGATGATGGCTTTGTTCAACATGACCTCTAGGTCTTTCTTGATCAAAAATTGATTCTGGTTTTTTTCTCTAGCGTTAGCAATGTTGACAGCTCGGCGTTGGCTATCAGAACGAAAGTTCTCTAGGCTAACTCACTTGCTGTGTTTTCCCCCCACCCCACCACACCCTGTGGTGCATTCCCGCGTCTGCTTGCGCACGTCTCACTTTTACTCCATGATCAATCACAGCAATGTGACCTCTCCATCCCCGCATCGGAGAAGTGAGAGGCATGATAGATATCTAGGCCTAGATAATGTAGACTAGGCTGGCCTATCACTATCAGGCAATGCGTTCTGCTTCACAATGGTGTGTCTGCGCGTGCCACACACTCCCCACTCATTCGCTCCGGCCTTCATCGTTGGCACACATGGGCTCTCCCATTCTTTGTTTCATTTGATATCCAACAAGTTTCTCAACTGGTGAAGTTTTCATGTTTCAATGGCCTATGCACTGTGCACAGGAGCAGCAATACTCCGCTATAACCGACTTGCGCGTTTATGTGATTGCAGTATTTCATTTACAAAGATAAAGAAGGGGAAAAAACGGGGTTTTAGAATGATGTCTTTATAACAGACTTCTCGTTGTTTCAGGACTCGTTATAAGTGGACTCCACTGTGTTATGTTGTATCATATGATAATGCATCATAATATTATATTACTTTGCCTTAGTGTTTGGAGTGGAGCCTGACTTGACCCGCGAGGGTGGCAGTATCCCCGTGACCTTGACCTTTCAGGAGGCCACTGGCAAGAATGTGATGTTGCTACCCATGGGAAGGGCTGACGACGGGGCCCATTCCCAGAATGAGAAACTCAACTTGTCCAATTACATCCAAGGGGTAACTTTTTGTCTTGCTTTGTTCATCGAGTCGTTAATGTAGGCTACATTGAAAAATTTTTACCCCTTTTGCCTTGATCTTTTTTTTTTTTTTTGCTGGTACTAATGGTACTCTGGTTCTTAATTAAACCCTTGAGGCAGTAGCAGTGAAGACAGTGGAGTTCGCTTAAACCGCCATCTGTTGGTTGGTTCAGTCATATTTTCAGTTTAAAGAGATTGCTCAAAAGAAGACAAAAATCAAGGATTTTATTTCTTCTTTGGGTGTACCGCTGTTTTCAGATTAACCTTATTCTGTATAAGTGGATTCCACTCTCTGTTTGCTAAATATTTTTTAGGAGGATTTTGAAGATGTATCATTTTGAAGGAAAATTTTCATTGTCTAAATAACATTTCCACATTTATTTCTTGTACATGATTTGATCTGAGTTTTCCTACAGTGTCTTTCTGAACATAACAATATGCTTTTATTTAGAGCAGTTTAGAAGAGCAATTGGAATTTAATTGAGGTTTACTTTTGTAAAGGCAGTTTTCCCTGAGCCTAAATTTAATATTGTATAGAATGTTTTATTCTTATATCACTGTTTACCCCTATTTCTTGGATATTGAACTCCTACAAAGGTAGTAACAATTTGCAGCTGTGTTTATGTAATTCCTCATCTTCACCATCTCATAGATATTTTGCTGTGGTGTCGTGGCATGTGTTCAAATCTATATTTATGAATGACATGGGTACATTGCACAGTGAAGAAGTCTGCTTTAAATGAACACAGTTAATCCAAAAAGAAAAAGTTAACCTCAAAATTAATGAAATTTGATTCTTTTGTTGTTGTTCTAATTGTGAAACAGCCTAAACTGGTGAAAATGTGGCGGTCCCACAGATTTCAGTTTAAGTGATAGACTTCTCAGTATTTCACTTTGAACGATTGAATATTGACATAATATGGTACGTCTTTAATTTACCGCTTAGAAATGTTTTGAAAGGGATGTAAATGCTACAGGAAGGAAAATCATCAAATTCTTTCTTCTTCTCTCCAGATCAAGATGTTTGGAGCATACATGGACGAACTGGCAAAGCTGTCAGCATAGGTCAAAAGTCAGCGAGTGGAGTGTGAGCCCTCTGGGAAATCTACTGAGTGGACAAATCATCTGGTCATGGCATGAAGCTCTTGTTTTGCCAATTTTTTCCCTACCATTGCAAGAGTGCCATATTGGTGACTCAAGGGCTTTTACGTATTTGAATTCCAGTTTCATTTAATGAATGCAATATATATACCAAAAAACCACATCATATTCAGGATGTGTTTTTATTTGCTGAGGTCCAAGTTTTGGTGGCAGAATTAATGCTCTGCTGGGTTGTTGTTTTTTAATGTATACACAATCTTTTGCTGTTTGGTTTGGTTGTAAATAGTCTAAATCTGCTCAGGAGCTAGCTTTGTAATACAGAAGGCAACAAGTTTTGTTTGTTTCTTTAGAACATATAAAACAACTATTTCATTCAATAAGTAGAGTTCTAATGTCTACCAAAAAATGGGAGTTGGGTTCAAGATTTTGATCTCTTTTTCTTTATAACTCTGTCCTCAAGGTCTTTAAACCGATTTTATCTTCTTTCTTTCATTCCACTTGGTATAGTCAGCAATTGAAATGTTGTTACAAAGTGTTGTTTCAAATTTGCTATCTTTTGTGTGCATCAATTTTACATTACAGTTTTATATGATGAAATTCTGTTTGTTTTATCTTCACTCATTTTAGTTTTAGGATTTTTTCCCCATGTCTCTAGTGTAATGGATAGGGCACTTTGCTTGGCATGCAGAAGAAATGAGTCTGATTCCCTAGAGGAGACGTTATTTTTATAAAATGTCTGTCTTTCTGGTGGGATGCAGTTGCCCACACAACCAGGGCTGGCCTTTACTGTCAGGGTTTAAACACCCCATTGTTGAGTTATACAAGTCTGCTCTCAACAGTTTTGGCTACACAACTGTGAATAATGCTTTTACATAAATATTCAGACATGCAGATGTATGTAATCAGCTTATTACAACCTGTCACTACATAAGTGAAATCCGAATGTGCGGCCAAGGACTCCTGGCACCCTAATATATATGATATCTAGTTGTTTGTTTTTACAAGATGTAGAACTTAGTTGTATTTTTAAATCTTGAATAAAGAAAAGCTCTGACCTGATAACTGTCATTTAGTACTACGAAAAATGTGTACGTTAAGAATTTTCTCATGGTACAACTCTTAAATATGTCTTCTCCCTGAGTGAACCAAATGTGCATAATAATTTTCCTTTGAGACAACACTTATGACTGAAGCCTCAATGTTGTGTATCCCCTGAACACCTAGTCCTAATGGCTACATTCCTGCAGAAGGAAATGGACCCATTTTACTTTTACTTCCTTGAAATGTGCCTTGATGTACTTTGAAATGTTGAGCTTCGACGCCATTTGAGCAGGTATCTGTGATCATTGTACGTTTTATTTATCTGTAGGCATAGTAATAGTTGCTTGCTCATCCAGGAAAAAATCAAGATCCCTTCATAAAGATGAATGAAACTGTGCTGAGAGAGTGCGGAGACTGCGAGTGGTCAGATGGTTTGTAGTTCTATTTCTATACTATTCTTTTTATGTCAGAGTGGAAACAAAGCGAGAGGTTGTTGCTCTGTGAGAATGATATTTCATGATTCAACAGTAATTAGTAGCGTGGACTGCGATATGAGTGACTGTAACTAGTATGTCAAAGCTATTTATTTTTAAGCCGTTTTTCACACCTGGGATTGTATTAAAGATTAATAATTTGCTAGTAATGCTTTGTTTCTTGGTTGTATCGATATCTTTTAGTGGTAATTTATAGGACTACATCTTACAGTCTACCACCAATAGAGCAAAGTCTGTGAAACACAGAAATCTTTTAGTTGTACATGTTACAAGTAGATAAAATTTGTGACCTGAAAATCCATTTGCTATGTGCATATTTCGCTATGTGCGTGCTAGACAGTATGTACTTTTGTTTCTCTTATCAAGGGTGAATAGTTGACTGAGGCAAATCATACTCTTAGTTTCTTAGTTTTAGTTTGAGTAAAGACAAGCACACAGACAAAGTCACAGAAACTACAACTAGCCCCCTCCAAGCGCCCGCCCATCTGGCAACCGTTCGAACTTTTTGGTCTCACAGTTCACTCTGAACAGTGAGTTTTCTGTTAATTGAAGACGCATACATGAGTTCGAGCTCTGACAGTTTCAGAAAATACTTAGGCCGTTTCATGGAGATTTGTCTCAAAAGTTCTGTTAAAATCAAATGATCAAACTGAATGGGGAGCCCTGCACTATAGGCAAGGCACAGTTTCCACATAGAGCTGATATTTGCACAATGAATCAAAATCATTTACAGCAAAATGAACAGGAAGAAAGAGTGCGGGTTACATTTATGTATAATCATTTATTGTACAATTCACCTGGCACATTATCAAAATTATTATGAAAAACTTATCTGAATTTCACAAACTCACCACAGCACAGTGTTACTTATATTACCCAAACAATGAAAAAAAAACAGACAAAAAAATGTTCACACTGGTCATATATTGACCATTTATGATCGTGGAATAAACATGAGGCGCTACATATAGAAATGAAACAATATCATATCAATAAACACAATGATCAACCTGACACATAGAGTCCTGTTCAGAAAACTTGAAAATGACAGACTGTAAATGTAACGGCAGAGGTGTCCAGCAATGGCCCCACAGTCACAGAGGGGAGGGTACTGACAATAACAGGCTTGCCAATTTTGTCAAAATCTGATCAGGGAAACCAAACGTTACAAAAATGAAGAAAATAGCACCAAATGGGGCTGGTTTTGGTGCAGTGAATGCAATGTCCTCTCAAATTCCAGACTGAGAAATCCAGGGCAGTTGGCAAGCCTGTAATATAGTGATATGGGTGCCTGCGTGTATGTGAAAAAGAAAAGAGGGCTGTCTTTCAACTGTCGTAAAAGTTTTATGGCACTTGCTATACAAACTGGTCATATTAGGCTGAAGAAAACATACTGCCACACACAACTGAAGTGCGTCACGAAAAAAGTCAGGCCCTACTCTTTATTTCCTATCAGTGATTTCACTGACACGACTAGACGTGAGGAGTCGCGAGGACCCTAAAAGATGTGCGGGCGAGCAGCACTTCTTTTTCGCGTGCAGACAGGCTCGCCCTGCGATCTGAGTGTTCCGGGACGAAAAAAAAAGTGGAGATAAAACAAGAGGGGGGGAGGGTGTGACCACTGAGCTGTACACGCCTGCTCAGCGCCATTTTTTTTTACACTGACCTATGGGATCCCCGCTTCCGACCTAGCTGCTTGACCGTTTCGAGGTGTACTTCAGTTATGCGGGCAGTATATTTTTAGCCTAAGTGCCACAGATCAGATGTGTTACCAGAGAGTAACATGCAAAAAAAAAAGAAAAAAAAAAGATACAAGGATGATATATTAGATAAGATAGAAGGAGCGGACCACACCAGAGCACCTGCCAACCACCCGAGAGGGGGCGAGGGGAGGAAGGGAGAGAGATAGGGAGCGAAAGTAAGGTTTTACAAACATATTCTTTACCTCTCCTCTATATAAAAAAAGGCAGCAGGTATTTTCACGACTTGTTTTTCTCTTTGGACCAATTAGTAAACAGCTGGGTCATGCCAGAGGTGAATAAAATAAACTCTCTGCCTTTTGTCCATGCCCAGCATGCCTTCTCTCTCAATCTCTCTCTCAGTCTGTCTGTCTGTCTGTCTGTCTGTCTCTCTCTCTCTCCCTCTCTCTTTCTCTCTCTCAGTCTGTCTCTCTCTCTCTCTCTCTCTCTAAGAATGGCAGATGCGAATCCCCATCCCTTCGAAGTGGGACAAATTTTTAAAGCGTATTGTGCGTTTGCGGAAGAATTTTGGAAGTACTGCAGTAGGCCTACAAAATATGTTTTCAGCAAAAAATCCTCGAAATCAGTCACTGCCAAGAACAACACAATCGAAGACGAGTCGAAACACTACCCCGCAGAGTGGCAGTAGGCTTACAGCTTGTGTTCATGTCTCTTTACTTTAACAAAGGTTTATTAAAGCTTTCTAGGGGTTGAAAATGGTATTTTTCCATTGCCGCTTACAATACGCAACACAAACACGGGAACATCAATCCTGACGGTATGATCACCATCCTATAGATATTCTGCTCTAATTTTCCAGCATTACGCGTTTGATAGTAGAGTAGAAAGCCGAAACCAGAGCACAATTTCACTTTTAAGCAAAAAAAATCAAAGCAAGTCTCTCTCTCTCTCTCTCTCTCTCCCGCCCTCCCTCCCTCTCTCTCTCTCTCTCTCTCTCTCCACAGATTTCGGGATGTAGATCTAGGCTACGGGTTTTGCAAGGGAAAGTTGGAGTTGGAAGCACTCTTGGCACCTATCATATTGCAAATCCGGAGGTTTTGACACCTTAATCAGAATGGCGTTAAAACAAGTCAAAAATCGGAAACAAGATCTTGATCTACCCCAAAAAAAAATCGAAGTGTATACAGACCCGGTAACCGGGAACAAAGTCACGAAGTATACAGACCCGGTAAGGGAACTCTTTTGTGATTTCGGAAAGTTTCAGCGCCCAGACCCGGTAGTGTGTGTGTGCGTGCGTGTGTGTGTGTGTGTGTGTGTGTGTGTGAGAGAGAGAGCAGGGGGAAGTGCTAGCAAAATGTATGACATGCCCCAGTTGGCAGGAGGGAACGAGAGAGATGTATAGACGTCTAGTGGGAAATAGGTGGGGAGAAAGAAAGACAGAGACAAACAAAGAAAAAGAGAATGCGAGCAACAGAGCGAGAGAGAAATAGAGAGGATGACTGCTCGAGAGAAATTATGACATTGTTCTTTTCTTCAAATTGTAATTCCTCCAACTCCAAAACGGAGGAAAAACGATCGTTCATCGAAAAGACATCCGCAATCTTCATTTAGATCTAGATCTAGATCTAGGCTAGCCTCGAAACTAGACCAAGGATTTATGTCTGTCTGTCTAGATCTAGATCTAGACCTAGCCTAGGCCATAGATCTACCAGAAGAACCTAGGTCTACCCTGAGCCAAGAGGGCGCTGAAACTTTCCGAAATCACAAAAGAGTTCCCCTACCGGGTCTGTATACTTTGTGACTTTGTTCCCGGTTACCGGGTCTGTATACACTCCCCAAAAAAATTGCTTAGAAAATCTAGACCTCTGCAGTAAGAGCCGATATGTCTTTGAGAGGTGGTGAAAATGTGCGTACATTTTTATTCCATGACATGTCGTGAAAATACCAGCTGCCATAAAAAAATAAGTATAAAACTACAGGTGGATATAAGGCTCTTTCACACAGCAATATACCTGATGCCTGACAACAGTCATATGATGAACCTGTAGCTCACAGACATTCTCTACATCAGAGAGCATCCAAAAACTAATTCTTCCAAGCTAATTTAGGCATTGCTATGACGAAAAAAAACTGATCCCTTTTCTCCACTTTACATGCCATCATTTAAAACTGATAAAGCAGAGACACAAAGCTGACCCTGACCTCAATCACTTTAGATACAGCTTGTGGTTTCAAACTTTGACTGGTCATGGCGTAATTGATCTAGGTATAATTAATTCAACAGGCACTATAGATACAAAACTTGTACAAAACAGATCTCTGTGCGCATTATTAAGGTTGTTAGCACAAAAGTTTAAGTTGCCCACAGTTATCAGGCTAACAAAGACAGACAACCCTTCATGCTATAGGGGAAAAGAATTCAAATTTACACATGACGGTCTGGATCAACAGCACTATCAAATATGGCTAATACATGTACAATAAGACAAAGGCAGATTCTGACTTTCATAAACATGTACAATCAGACATGGTTCAGCATACACTGAAACACTCAAGTTTCCCAATACTTAAAAATTACAAAACAATTATGACCTCTGTGAGCTTTATGTACAAAAGAAAGAGCAGCAAATAAGAAAATGATGATGAATATTTCCCCTTGGAACCTCTACAATACAAATACAAAGCGCCAGGGAGCTCATAAAAGAATGATAAAAACTTTCCTTTTTTTTCTCCACAAAGAACGAGAACAAAAGCCTCGACTTCGGTTTACAAATATTTCATTACAGAATGAGCAATTCAGCAACTCTAAGCACTATTAAATGTATTCCTCATTAGCATGCTACGACAATGGTCTTAATATTAATCACACTTAATAAGCCTAAATCAAAGTGACCCACCACAGTATTCCATGACAGGGTTAGGTGATAAAGCACAATATCTCATTATACTCATAGCCGTTTCTCACTATTGCCAGAACCCATAAAGACAGCAATGGAACACCTATCTGAGAATACAACAAATCACAAAGCGCTAGATTGCAGATAGAAATTTCGGCAAATTTGAGTGTTTGACTTATTGTATTGATCAACTGCCTTAATAATGGCCACTTTGGTCTTACGTTAAGTGTAATTGCTGTTATTAAGCATTTTCTTTTATTTGTAATCTTTTTCTTTTTAACTGAATGAGCACAATGACTTGGGAGTTATTACAAAACGTTATTAGTTAGCACCTGAAACTATATGAGCCACAATTAAGACCAAATAGAAATGAGGCCCCACATTTGACATGTACTATTAAAGTATTTTTTAAATAGTACAAGTCTACGGGCTGCACTAAGCAAGTCTATGACACACCCTACAAACCCACCAACCCTTGCTGACTCATGACATGTGTTGTTTGTTTGCTTAGTAGAGGTTTTACGGCGCTCGCAACTGCATAAAGTCATATGAGCGCCAAGGGGAGGATGTCAACAGAGAAGTCCTTACAGGGAATCGGGCTTACTCTACTCACCTCTTTACCTTCAACAGCACGAAGTCTGCTTAGACTATCAAGGCACCCTGGAAATAGCGGGTCACAAGAGTGTGACAAACATACAAAAGAAGTAGAGGAAAAATGACGATAGCAAGGAAAGAAAAGGCAGCAGTTCCCGGTTGCAGTTCAGGCAGTTATGAGCATGACAATCTACTGTGCATAAGAACTCATTAATGTCCCCCTTTGGGAATGGCCTAAAGACACCTTAGTCAGTAGCACCGCCCGGGGGGGGGGTAGACATGAGTTGGGTGTTGAATATACAGTGACAGCGGGCTTACACAAACTTAAAACTCAGTACATTGTATGGTCACACAGTGAACTCAATGCAGTGTGAGTATGAGTCTAGAGTTTGTATTTGTATACAGGTGGGGAGGGGGGAAGTGTTGGTGAGCAGTATTAAAGAAAAAGTTGGATGGGAACGGGACGCTTATAATTCTGTAAAAATCATTCGCATCAGCCCAACAAAGAATTTACGGGAGTTGCATGGTTTGGTAGTAGGGCCACCACATGTTCATCATCTCTTCTTCCAGCGTCAAGTCTCACTATTGCTGAAATTTTGAAGAGCGTGTCAGTTTTCATTTTATTATTTATTGGAGTGAATGAAGGAAAAACAATGAGAAACAAGCATTGCCTTGTTAATCCCCAGTTTTTGTGATCCAAGTTGATGTGACATATATGGATCCCGTTGTGGCTTCTTATCATAAAACAATGTACATATGCTAACAAATTTCCAATTTACAAAAAAGAGATCATTACAGCGAGAGTCAAATAAAGATCTAAACTAACAAAGTTCACATGTTTTTGGAGGGGGTATTTTCGGTTTACTCAAAACAATGACAAACGATATAGGCTAATATTGTAGCACATTGACGGTTTGCAAAACTGAGTACCCAATAGTCAAAGACCGAAGTTATAAAACTCCCTGGAGAAAGAATTAACTCTATGTGAAATGTGTTAATGTTGAGCTGAAGTTATATGTGAATCAGCCAGCCAAAAAGAGACAATAAAAGAGGCAACCTTGACATGAAGCAGAGGGGGCAGACCACCCTTTGGCACCCACGAACCTCCTGCATGATTATATTATTCATCTGATGAAGGGAAGAGATTCCTCCAATCATTTTCCCACAACCAAAAAGTCTGACAGCGTTGATGAATCAATCAAAATATGTTGGAGATCACTTCGAGGAACATCATGGAAATTGCATAACTCACAATCAAAACAATAGAATCTGATGCCAAAATCAGGAAAATTATGAAAATTGCCTGAGTGACTCCAAGACCAGTTTGTCAGTGATAACACAACCAGTCCACCTGTGACCCACCCAAGACAAAAGATAGAGTGACCAACGAAGGACTTGGGATTTCCCTGAGACAGAACCAAAGTGGTACGAGAAGACAACGACACAATAAATTAGAGAGTACAAAATCTATCGGGCGCTGCTCACACCATGTGCCTATCAACTCTCAGACTGGAGTACACAGCAGATGGAGTCCTGTCATCTGACAACAGCACTTCATGGATCTGATATTATGCCCTCGGCAATGTTGGTCATGTGGGGGAAACACACCTGAAGAAGAAACAAATCAGTAGAGAGGTAATGGACACAACTGATCTTTCTTTCTCTCAGTCTATGTTACGTTTTTTTTTTTTTAAAGTTTCAGTAGAGGTTTTACGTCGCTCGCAACTGCATAAAGTCATATGAGTGCCAGAAGATTAGAGGTGTTACAAAAGAGTAACAAACATAAAAAAGAAGAAGGGGGAGATAAGGACGATAAATGAGTGATAGGAAAGAAAAAGCAAACCACACTAGAGCATCCGCCAACAGCTCACATGCATACATTTGCATTTTTACACGAAGACACATCTTAAGAATAAAGCTAGAATATTTGTACAACAAAGACTAGAGGGCTGGTAATGGTTTTGTTTTATACCCTTTTCAACACAAATTGACAAGCTACAAGGCATTGCCCAAATTTCAGCAACTGTCTGCAATTATTCAACTGATCCAGCAGGATTTACACAAAAATGTTTTAACTCATTCGCTACGCCGAGCCGTGGGGGGCGGCGCGGCTAAAGTGCCGCCAGTACGCTAAGCTGCCCCCGGCGGCTCGACAACCGATCTTCAATTTTAGCTTAGATTCTATTCCAATCCACATATCCATGTTAAAATAAAGGTCATAATATAAAGTTGACTTCTGGGTCAAGCATTTCCACTGAAAATCGGAAATTTAGATTCAGTTTTGAAACCCGATTTCGTAGTTTAATCGACTTTGTTTTATCGCGATGTCAAAATTATAGCCCGGACACCAGTCTTAGTCATTTTACACAACAAAATCTATCATTATTTTGCCCACTAAAGAAATGTAGGACTCTTTTTTATAATATTGATACAATGCACTGTTATTGAGAAATCAATATATTTTTTAGTGTTAGATCTAGGTCTAGATCTAAATTGTCAAAATATTTTTTTCTCCCCAAAATCACTACTTTTTGGTGAAATTACACAAAAAGTGCCCCTCTAGACATGTATAGGTTTATTCCAAATGCAATTATGAATAATTCCATATAAGATAAGAGTGGGCTTTTTTTCTGTTTGTGATCGTTTTTCAAGATTTTTTTTATTTTTTATTTTCAATATCGGATGTTATGATCCAAATGTACAAATATTATGGAATGTACGTAAATAACTGCAAACTTTTCAATATTTTCCAGTTCTATATTCATTTATGGTTATTTTGATGTATCATTTGACTAGGTGCAAACGTATTTTTTGAGTTTCACCAAAGATAATTAATTTTTTATTTTCAAATTTTATCCGCATCCAATCAAAATTTTATTGCGTAATCGCCTCCTACAGGAACCAAAGTTGAAAAATACATAAATAAACATTACAGATGTATTCTACAAACCATACTGAAAATATTGGTATATAATACATTGATATTTATTTGAATTTGTGGCCCCAAAGACCATTTAACTGCCCACTAGTCATCACCTCATTCGCCCTCCGGAAAAAAATTAGTCCACAAGCCAAAAATAATACGTAGCGAACGCGTTAAGTACTTAAGATAGTAAAAACATCCCTGACTTGTCACAGAGCCACGCTGGTAAAAAAAGAGTTTTCGTTACAAGAAAAGAGAAGCACATCAACACAATTATGGTCATTCAGTTCAAATTATAATTAAAAGCGCAACAGTCAATCAAAAAAAAAGAGGGAAAGAAAAGAAGTAAGACCTACCAGTGGTAGCCTCCTTTTTAGTTTTTAGTAAGTGTTTTACCGTACTTGCAACATAATAAGGTCATAAAAGTGCCAAAGATTAGAGGTGTTACAAGAGAATAACAAACAAAAAAAGGAGGAGAGATAAGGATGATAGATGTTTGATAGGAAAGAAGAAACAACCTCCAACCATCTGATAAATTCAATGTGACAGCACAAACAAAGCCTTCAACAGGCAAACAATGCACACAATAATCACTGATGACCAACAAACCTTTCGCTTGTCCAGTTCCTCCTGTGCCCACAGTAACAGCTTAAGCAGATTGGCCAGGCGGGGAGTCGAATCTGTTTCTAAGATGGCTGAATTGACCTCACTGGCAACCTGTCAAGAAGGCAGCAGAACAAAAACAGAATACAGACCAAATATACATTTTTTAAAAATATTTTTTTAGACCTGTTCATGACACAAGGCAAGGTTCCTAAAACACATCAGGGATACAACACCCTCTGGGAATGCAAAATTCAAAGATCACTTTACTCAGCTATTGTTATCAAGAAAACTTTTGCAGTCATTGAAAATCTCTTATCTAGAAACTACGACTCAACCCCCCCCCCCCAACCCAACAGCAAACAAACAAAAAGGGGAAAAATCCTCTTGGTAACTAAATGGGTAAAGAAACAGTAACTGGTCAAATGATGACAGAATAATGAGGTAAAACTACTGCGCCTTTTAAAATAACAATTGAAGGCTACAATGAAAAACAATCAACATCACATTTTCATCTCCAATAAAATTCAAAGTTTATCAGAATGCACTGTTCTTTATCTTTTTTCTATTGTATTCTCTTTTAAGCCAAGACTGACTGTTGTATTGTTTAAACTTTTTAAAGAGTAAACAGCTTACACGATAAAGGAAATAATACTTATGAGTTTGCAACTTTGGTCATTTTTCCATTGTTTTCTGAAACTTTGGCTTTTCCATAAAACTCCCTCACCTTTTGCCGTTGCGAGGGGTGCAGAAGTTCTCCAAATGGAGATGATTCGGGGTCATCAAAGGCCAAAAGGGCAAGCGTTTTCTCCAGTTCGGGCAGTACATTAGGGTTTTCCTCAACACGCTCCGAGAGACGAGTCTGGGCAAAGTCCAGGGCAGACTCCAATTCCTTTGCCTTGATCAACTCTATGAGCTCTTGTTGCTGGTGGGGGAGGGGGGGCACACAAAGACAGAGGGAACTTTGGTAAAAATTGACAGACTAAATAGCATCAACCTTCATCAATTTATGTGTTTGAAAAAAGACAAGCAAATAGACATGATAAAAGTAAAAGTCATCTTGTTTAGTTTAGTTTAGTAGAGTTTTTACGGCAACTGCATTAGGTCATATGAGCGCAAGGGGTGGATGACATCAGAGAAGTCCACACAGGGAATCAGGCTTACTCTGCTCACCTCTCTAGCAACACTTCAACAGCATTAAGTCTGCTTCCACTATCAAGGCACCCCTGAAATAGCGGGTCACAAGAAAGTGACAAACATACACAAAAGAGGTAGAGCATAAATGACGATAGTAAGGATTAGGAAAGAAAAAGCAGCAGTTCCCCGTTTGCAATTCAAGCACAATATGAGTATGACATTGATTAATTAGCCCATTTACAATTTTACTGAGCATAAGAACATGTCTAGCATCTGCGTTTGTTGCCATTTTTTTAATACAAAAGTGGCACAAAAATGGCAAAAGTTGCCATTAATTTTTAAGTTTCAACTCTCTGTGATGATCATATAAAATATTGCAATATGTTGATAGAGGTAACTTAATCTAAAGCACCAGAATTTCTTGCACTCTGTTTTAAATATCCACAAAAATAATAAACCAATAAGGGCGTGTGTCCATCACACACAAGGGGCCTGCCAGTGTCAGTATTCGGTTTTGATGGTGACAAACTCTAACAAAACATTTATATTTTTAAAAAGGAAGGAATAACATAAAATTAAATGACATTACGCTAAATAAACACAAAAAATAAGAAAAACAGATCAGAACAATAACAAGAAAAAAATTAACAGACCAACAAATTAAAACACAAAAAAGAGGGAAGAATAAAAGAGAAACAGTAATATAAATACTATGTAATGTACTTAATAATATACTCTTCACATGAAAATAACAAATCAACGTGGTGTCAACAAGTGAGAAATAAACAAAGTGAAGCGGAAGCAAAAATAAACCTTCTTTCTGAAAGTAAAGAATTTCCATTTATTTTTTTTTTTTTGACGATTCTTATTCCCCAGGGGTTTTTTTCGATTTTTTATTCCCCGACGGTGTTTTTTTTTTTAAAGTGAAAAATTTGCTGCCGCGATTATAAAATGGTAAAAATCACGGCCGCAATTCGTGGGTCGCGGTAAATGCAGATGCTACACATGTTAATATCCCCCCTAAAGACACCTCAGTCAGTAGCAACGCCCCGGGGGGAAAAAGTCATCTTTTAGTTTTAGTTTAGTTAAAGTAGAGGTTTTACAGCGCTCGCAACTATATAAGGTCATATGAGCGCCAGAAGATTAGAGCTGTTACAAGAGAGTAATAAATATAAAAAGAAGAAGGGGAGATAAGGATAATAGATGTTTGATAATAAAGAAGAAGCACACCACACCAGAGCACCCGCCAACCACCCACTAAAAAAAGTCATCATGTTCCAGGAAAAAGCAAGACTGACAATAATAGATACATGACAAAAGGGGGAAGGTTAAGAAGTATGACCTAGTGAAGGCACCTTCCAACAGCCCACATGTTATGATTGATGAAAAGTACAGAACACTGACACATGACATTACTCTTGCAGTTAGGCAAAGACTGGTGAAATTCAAAGAAACGGCTAAACATGCAATAACTAGTGCCACTGGACGGACCCATGGTATGAGAAAACCATGACTGAAGCTGTTCAAGATTACAACGACTGGTTAACAGATCAACTCTGTTCACACACACAAATCCCTCATGGACTCTTAAATTCTGAAGCTTATAAGAAAAAAGACTTGAGGGCAAGAGATTAAAAACCTCCCTGAGAAAGACCGGACTAAAAGCAAAACCTTTGAAAGACGTTTTTGACAACTTCTCTCATCCAGACATAGTTCATTAAAAGCAGAGAGGGAAGCATCAATTATAACAGAAACACAATTCATCAATGAAAATTGGCTCCATGAATGAAATCTTCCCTAACAGAAAATGTTAAAAACCAAGTGAGAAATTTTACAACTGTTTGAGTACAGGTTAAATATACATGCTGTGGGATTTTTTCATTTCTGTCAGGACACCTCAGACTATTTTTCATACTCGACTACTTTGAGCCCAATACGAGAGAGACAAGTTTTTTTTAAAACCCAGATTATCCCCAATAACAGGTTTAACTTACTTGCAGCCTGAAATAAAGATATCTGTCGCTGTCCAAAAGTTCGGGATACAGGGAGTTGATGAGGGAAATGGCTTCCATCACACGACCCTCCAAGATGGCTTCCCTGATGCGTATCCGATCATCGAGAGTGTCCAAGTTCACAGTTGGGGAGATCCCGGACTCTGCACTGAACTTTTCTGCTGCCTCTTTGAAACCCTCTGTTGAAATAAAACAAGACAAAGTATTGTTGGTGAAACAATAACAGAGATCTGTTTCTGGTCTTCAAATGCAGGCTGGTATTTCTTTCCTTTTTTAAAAAATTCACAAATTGAAGAACAGTTTATAAAAAGAATTGTGGTAACTAGCAATCCAAAGGTTGCTGGATTTGTGTTCAATCCAGTGTCTTGCTGAAGAAGGGATATTTCCAAGTTGAACAAAACATATGAAAAAAGGGGGAAAAAGTGTTTTATGGTAAAAACAGAACAATAATTATTGATGAAAGGAGCAGCCTTCGCACTGGAAGGAGAGAAGGAATAGGAGAAATGTCTCTCTACATTTAGCATGTACAACTACAACACTCACCTGTGACCAAATAGTTCATGATCAATTTGTTCATGTCCGCTCTGCCAACATGTTGTGTACCTAGCTCAGCCATCCAGGCGTCCTTAGCATCCTTCACTAGTCGGTCCTCCCCTCTGTCCCCGCTGCTGCCAGAACTCATATTGCCAACTGCTGGCTGGAGGGGACAAATTAAATGTGCTTTCTGCTTGTCTGAGGGGAATAAAAGAGAAATCAACATTTAATACAGTAATTTACCATTAATTTTAATTAATTATTAACTTAAGATTATTTCTCAATCATTAAATTTTCTGCCAACAACATAGATCTAGAGAAATCTAGATCTAGACTTAGATCTAGATTCTAGTCTAGATTCTAGATCTAGACTCTAGATCTATTTCAATTCAATGTAAAATAGCTCATTACTCGAAAGAGGCAAATTATAACTGAAGTATAAAAGGAAGGCTGAATGAATCAGTTCATCATAGACTAATTTTTATATATTCATATAATCATAATATATTCGACATCATGTTATAGATTCTAGATCTATATAAAATCTAATATCTAGAATCTAGTCATGTCATCTTGGCTAATTCTCATTGTCATAATTCGGACACTTTGGCTTTGGCATGCCTTTGGGCTTTGGGAGTGGAGACTTCCACCTTCCCAGTCCCAGGTATTATATATAATCTACATCTGTGGTAGTTTCCTACGAATTACATGCAAATGGACAGCATACTTACATTTTAAAAGTTACCAGATCTAGATCTATATCTTTCTTACTCACTGATCTCGGTAAACACAGCAGGTAAGTAACTGTGAAACTGTGAACCAGAGACTGAGCACCGATCAGTCTGCTGAATAACAGTAACAGTGAATAGCAGTATAGCAGTGAAAGAAACTGAATACTGAATTGAAGGGGAGATCTTAGAAAAATAGAAAATGAAAATAATTGTTTCCTCGAGAAAAGAGTTCCGAACGAGGATGATAGGCTTGGCGTACTTGCCAGATTTTTACGAGGATGAAGTTTTAAAACTGTGTTCTGGTATTCTTACAAGCTTTCGGAGTAAAAAAAATACATGACATAGATCTAGGCCTAATTATGTATTACAGTGTGTTTTTGTAATTAAACATTCTGTACCCTCTCTTTGTCAGGGTCGGGATTTGAGAGAGAGAGAGAGAGCGAAAGAAAGAGGGAGAGAGAGAGAGAGAGAGAGAGAGAGAGAGAGAGAGAGAGAGAGAGAGAGAGAGAGAGAGAGAGAGAGAGAGAGAGGGGGGGGGGAGGGGGGGGGGACACAACGCTTTCACAGAATTCTACACTAAGTGTAGAATTCTGTGAACGCATTCTAAATTATGTAATTCGCAGCCTTAAACGGGGTGCCCACTACGGCTGGGATCGGCCCGATCGCCCGACTCGATCGGCTCAAAAACAAACGTGTTTGTTTTCAGTTTCAGGCGATCGAGTCGGGCGATCGGGCCGATCGGCCGATCCCGTCCGAAGTGGGCACCCCGTATTAGAAATCATTAGGGCGGATTGCATAATGTCATACTTTTTTAGCAGGAGTATGATAAGGCCTCTCCGTAGAGTTTTATCTCCTTTTGCTAAACTTGTCCTGTCCAGTCTAGAAGAAAACCTAATGAAGAGAACGCTTGTGAACATTGAAACAGACTCAATCCTTGTGACGTAGATTGAGGCAGCTTATCTTTATAACGTATTGAAACCTCGATTTTCTCCACTGGGCATCACGTCCCAGAGCCAACTCATCATCATCATCCAGTGCCAGATCGGCGGCAGACATCGGCGATCATGGTTCTCCATTCATTCCTTAGCTCGGCTGCGTTTCCCTGATCTTTCCCCGTCACCCATTTGTTCAGGTTTCCTGGGTAGGTAGCTCTGGGCCTGCTATCAGCAAAATTAACTAGGTCTTTACATTGCGTTTTGCAGATGACCTTCTGGTACACTAACTCAAGAAAACCATAAACGAAGCTGCTGAATCCGTAAAGAATGGGTCAATATTATAGGTTCGAATCATAAAATTATGGTGGTATGGAAATCAATGGAAACCACAGGGGATGCCTAAGGTCTTATAATTAGGTTCTCACTAAACAGCTGGTCTGTATTGAAGTTGACGGTTCTGGGCACGCCCGGTGCAACTGTCTGCCACTTTCTGCGAAAACAAACTGAGTACCTCAGGATTATCTTGAACAAAACGTGTTTTTCATAATTTAAAAAAAAGGCAAGGAAGGGTCTGGATAAGTTTCCTAAAAGTAGTCTCTCGATTATAGGCTATTCGCATCTAAGATGCCTGTCAAAAACTAAGGAGAATGTGGCTAATGAATAAACATTTTAATATGGATCCGAAGAAACTTCACAATGTACAGTGTCGTAAAACCATTCAGCTACAACTCGTTGCAGGATCTAGTCCCTCATGAAGATCAATGTATTTGTTTCCAGCAGGTCATATTAGAGAATAATGCCTATATCCCTTTTTTGAAAAATCAAATCTGAATTCAACCATTTTTATGAGCTCTTCAATAAATTAATCGTTTTCTGTGGTCTTCCCAGTTATATATTTCACTATTGGGTAAAAGTTGTTCCCGCATACGATCCGGACATTGGGGATTGCCTTGTAATTAGTGAGACAACTTCCTGGGCCTTCGGCATATTGTGGTAGGAGAAGAAAACGATGCACCTAAGGCCGTAACCACTAGCTCCGTCCACCTGATATGTAAATTGAAAGCGGTATGATGCAAACTGCACCCGCCGTTCCTTCGCTTTCGGAGATTGACCAGACTCTCGTGGACTAGAGGTTATAAATGTGTTCACCTTTCATTCAATAGGTTCCGGGTTCGAATCCGGATAGTGACGGAAACTTTTCTTCTCTAATTAAATTTTATCCTTTTACATCTTTTCCTGCTCTCTAACAATGTTCTGTCGTCTTCTTTGGTCTCCACTTTCTGCCCCCAACCTCTCACCTACTTCGCCCCCCCCCCTCCTCTGGGCTCCTGATTCTTTCTGCAGCCTTTCTACTGCTTCTCCTTGACTCCTTCTTGCTGCTATTTTTCAGCCACACCTCTGATGCTCTTATGGTAGGAAAAGTTTACACCTACAGCTTCTCAGATAAGGGCGAAAAATCTCGGAGACCTGTGTGCAAGCAGCGCACGTTAAAGATCCCTTGGTAGTCCAAAATCGATAAGAGTAGGTGTCGGCCGCCATCCGGGCAAAATTCAAAAAATTCCTGCTAACTGAAAATGTTTAATGTATCCCGTGCTCTCATATAGATCTAATATGACTTTGAGCAGTTGCGAGCATGTAAAACATTTACCAAAAAAAAAGAAAAAGGAAACTGACCTCATTTGATACAATGGCGCTGTCTATAGGCCAAGTGCGGTCAAAAATTCGAGGCGCAACTTATCTTCAAATATCTCTTTAACGATTGATCAATATTAACTTTTCTGTATAGATTTATATAAAATACCATTAATCTCCGTCACAATTGTTCATAGCACTTCGCGCTTCTCACACACACTTTATACACATTGACATGGAATATAATAATGAATAATGCCCCACGTCACAGCTCAACACTGACACTTTTTAGTGGTGAAAGTTGCTACTAGAGATTTATTTTATAGTGAACACTTTTTTTTCACTAAAGGTTATCAAAACATGCGTTCAATAAGCATACCTGTCGCGATTATTTAAAAAAAAGACGGATTTGCTTTTAGAAGCGATATTTCCCCAACTATAAACCTTTTAAAATCTGTAGAAACCATCGACTGTTGTTTTTTACATTTGCACTTAAGGAATTTTCAAGAAAACAGTGCTTTAAAAAAAATTCATCAGTTGAGACAAACTGATATAGAGTCATTGTGCCCAAGTTGAAGAAACTATGTTCTATAGTTAAGGAGATATTTCACAAAAGTTGAACAACAACGAATTTTTGACCGCGCTTTTGGATTAGCGTTGCTCTCGAAATTTGCGAAAAAGATAACGAACACACGAGCTCACCAGACTTTTCAATCACAATAAAGGTTGTAATTACGCTGAAAATCACAAATATCATACGTCGCGCGGGGGTTTTCACGTACGATGAACTCAAATCTAAACTTTAAAAATGCGATTTTATGCAATTTTTATCATTTTAGCTTTTGATTTTTCCCGTCCCGGAGGTAGCTATCTCATTTCTTGTCCGGGATCGGCCGTCCTGACGGATAGAATGCTGCATGCGACAATCAAACATGTGGCGCGTCCAGACAACGTTGGCAAGCTGGACTTGAAGGCCGAAAATAAAACTATACTAAACCCGGTTTGAAGACACCATTAAAGTGACGGACCAAATGCAGTATGCCGAGGTTTCTAATAGAACAAAGATCACGGATGGGCCTATATTATTATACCAAATGCCAACCACCCACTTTCTCAATCTGTTTTTAATTTTGTTTTGTTTTGTTTTAGCAATTAGTTATTACGGCACTTCCAAAAGGGGCTCTCGTGATCTAGAGGTTATGGTGTTCGCCTCTCATTCAATAGGTCCCAGGTTCAAAACCTCATAGCGGTGTAAACTTTTCTTTGTTAAAAATATTCTCCTTTCCCCTCCTTTCCTGCTCCCCTTCCATGTTCTGTCGTTCGCTTCCGTCTCCCCTTTCT